GAGAGAGAGGGAGAGAAAGAAAGCAAGTGAGAGAGATTGGAAGATCTCGAAGATGAAAGATTGATTGAAGATTGAAACAGTTTTATTGTGCATAGACATACCATAAGACAGCGTATTTATCGGTTATGAAATAGAATATATTACATGGCGTAGCAAGTTACAATTTTAATCAGTTCTATAAAGCACCGGGACCGGCGAAGGACACTTAAGCTCATCTTAGTCTGCCACCACCGAAGAGATAGCATTAAGATCGTCTCCACACAGCAGCGACCGGAGAGACCGACTGAGACGAGCAAAAAAAAGATTAACAGAGAAAGGTGGCGAAAATGAAGAGACGAGAGCCCGAGACAAAAGAGAGGAGTGAGAGGAGGAGGGAGGGGGAGAGTGGGGAGTGAAGCGAGAGGCGAGAGGAGAGGGAGTGGATCGCGAGGGGAGGAATGATAAAAAACTGATGAAAGAATCCCTGAAGGAATGATCAAATTATATTTTCCGAACATTTACGATACTTTGCTTCTGCAAATACGTTTCTATTATAGTGCGTTGTTATTTGCGCACATGCAAAATGTGTAGACCTGTCATGGCGTTGCCACTATAACGAAAGAAATTTTACATCAATAATTGACTTTCACAGCATTTATTTATCGCACATGATGTCTTACTAGCAAGCGTCGATGCTTTTTTTACCCCAATCAAATGCGAAATACGTAATGTAACAATGAAAATATCTACACACACATAATATACCATAATATCAAAAAGCTAATAATACATTTAAAGGTTGCATAATTTTGATTAAAAAATAAGTGAGATAAGTAGAATAATTTTGCCGTAAAATATCTCTATTTTCCCGATTTCCCGTTGTTACACTCCGTACGTACACTCTATGTACTATTAGCTCTTGATAACATTCATACCATAACAATAAGGTATAGATATGTCTATGATGTGACGTATATATACGGGAATACGTTTCAGCTAGTGCGAGATTCGCGGTAAAAACACAAGAGACAATGAAGCAACGAACGATCAAACCACATATAGAGTGATTAACGTGAATAAATAGAGCTTGCTTACATACGTTGACGATATTCATTAAAGGCATAATAAGCCCATTGCTTAGTTGCAAGTGTGCGAATGCTAGACGTCGTCACCAACTGGCACCTTGTTTAGTTACAAATACATAGACCTCGTGACATCTAGAAACGCGTGATTAGTTTGTCCCAATTGTCACTGCTGGTGACCTAAGAAGTGCGCTAATTGAAACTCCGCGAGTCAAAAAATTCAGGTTGCTTTACAGTTTCAAAAACCGCTGTGCCGGGCGGAATGCGGTTGTGATACAGCATTTATAGTACATCACCGGACATTTTTCGCACGCATGCTCGGCCGTACGCAATGCTATCACCAGTGATTTCGTAAACATGGACGCTCGTGATAAGGATCTTTTTGTCAGGGCTGTCCACCTGCGTCCGTGATTAGTACGTGTGTTTTACTCCATTTCCATGTTTAGTCCGTGCATGGCCGTGGTTACACTTCTGACACCTCCATTTCATCTGGCGTCCAAAACATACGGACCGCACAAATGTTTACATCATCGCTTGACTCCTGGATGACATTTACGGCACGTAAATGATACGTTGATACATGTATATCAACAACCGATTTCAAGTCTTGTTTGTAATGTAACCAGCAGTGATATTGGACAAACTAATACGCAATTGGCTATTAGGTTATGTACATATTAACTACACAAGGAGCCAGTTACTCTAGCATTCGTCAACATTGCAAAATCAATGGGCTTATTATGCTTTTAAAGGGATCCTTTACTCTATGTTCTAGGGTTATTTTCAGTTTAAGTTAAAATTACGCAACATAAAAAGTTTCATGGTTCAATCACTATTAGAAATAATTAAAAAAATGTTTTAAAACTAACGACTACAGTTTGACTATAACGACGGTGGCGCCACTCAAAGCACACGATCTGAAAAGTTGCGCAAAACGACTTTTCAGCCAAGGGCTACAGACCGAGGCTGTTTCTTATTTATTAATTTAAGAGCAAAAGGATTGTAATCTCTTATAAACGACATATAGTTTCAGTTATATTACGGATAAATTTGTCCTAAAATGAACATCGTTCGGTTAAACAGCATTTAGGTATAAATATAATTGCACCTTTGTGATTAGCCCTCGGTCTGTAATGTGCAAAATATATTGGGAAATGCGCAACTTGTTCAGGGTGGCAGCACGGTTGCGGGTGTCAATGGCGCCGTTCAAATTTCGTAGCGTTTATGTATAATTAATAATAGCAATTAAATTAGGTATCTGGTAACAAGTACGTGTGGGTATAGACGATTTGTTATACTTTTAGTACAGTTGTATGCCGTAAAATCCTAGAGTCTAGTATCCATTAAAACTCATTCATGTATTAAACTCGCTGTGTGCGTNTGTGTGTGTGTGTGTGTGTGTGTGTGTGTGTGTGTGTGTGTGTGTGTGTGTGTGTGTGTGTGTGTGCGTGCGTGCGTGCGTGCGTGCGTGCGTGCGTGCGTGCGTGTTTGTTTGTGTGTGTGTGTGTGTGTGTGTTTTACGTCGGAATAAATTAGATGGTGGTACGAGATGGCAACACAATTATGAGATTCCCTAAACTCATTATAGTTATACGAGCACAACCTAAATAACGCGGAAATTATAATGGATTTTTAGTTCCCAATAACAGAAAATCCGCGTGGTCGAAATTTCATTTCCGTACTCTGAAGGGAGTACATCCATGCATGCCAGGCATACCAGTCAATACCTTCGGATTTTCCGCTACTTGTTTCGTACGGGCCATGCAAATACAATCCATTCAAATTGGAACTGCAATATGAAGAGATAAACCCGCAAATAAACATTGGTTGGAATTTAAATCGATGCACATAATTGTTATCAGGCAAAGCAGCGCATCGGAGTGCCCCTCAGTAATGCACGCCACCTCGCGGGTACACGTACAAAGTACAATCGACCCCGATAATAGCGGCCACTCATTTGAAACAGCGAACGTGTCCGTTGTAGACAGGTGGTCCAACGTTGAATAGTAGAGATGGCCGCTAACACAGGTTTGACAGTGGTTGCGCCTTCTATATTTCTATTTCCAATATTAATTGTCTGCATGTGCGCATGTTACTTGTGTTTACTGAATCGGAGACAATATATATTCACAACAGCGGAAACCGTACGACATGCACGCAGGAGCTCTCAACAAATCTCCATCCAAGAAAGGATGGATGGCAAAACAAAACAAAGATAGTTTACTAACTTGTGACACTTGTGATACCACCAGCCTGCTTTGTAATCCTGTGCACAATGCTCGCTGCTATGCACGTCGTTGTCGCGTTCAGGTGTCGAAAATTTCATGTTGTTGTGCTGCGTCAACGAGTCCCCTAAATCGTGTTAACACAAGTGAGCATTAATTTTATATTTTAATTAGCAGAGCCGTAGCTGGCTCTTTATGCCTTGGGGGCGGAGTCACGGTCGGCGGTTCGTGTTCTGGTCAGATGACCGTTGGCCGTGCGACTTCGACCATGTAATAGTATCCACGCTTTATTAATAATAATTGATAATAACGCTATATTGATAATAACAAGAGCGTATTAAGAAGGCCTTCTTTATACGCTCTTGATAATAACGTTATATTGATAATGACGCTATATTGATAATAACGCTATATTGATAATAACACTCTATGACTCTATATTGATATGTCACGATATGGATAATGACACAATATATATTTGATAATAATGCTATATTGATAATAACGCTATATTGATAACAACGCTATCTATATAATAATTTGTTCAGTTTGTTCCTGCATAACTTCTAGGCGCGTGCACGAATCCGACTGAAATTTTTCNCACCGCTCCCCCCGGCATTCGTCCTCCTCCCTCCTCCCCTCCTCCCCCTCCTCTCCCTCCTCCTCCGCTCCTTCCTCCGCCTACATTCCCGCATGTCATTTCTACGTCCCTCCTCTCCCTGTCTCTGTGTGCCTGCTTCACCCCGACTCCTCCCTTTCACAGACGCCTCGTGATCACCATCTCTCTTTCTCGCTTCCTCTTGCGTGTCGTGTGTGTGTGTGCGTGTGTGCGCTGTGGTGTGTGTGTGCTATGTGTGTGCAGTGCGTGCGTGCGTGCGTGTGTGTGTGTCCTGTGTGTGTGTGCGTGTGTTGTCTGCTCTGCCTGCCTGCGGTGCGTGCGTGGTGAGTGCGCGTGCTTGCCTGCGTGCGGCGTCGCGTGCGTGTGTGTGTATAGCAGCCAATTCTAGCCGGCTCATGTGACGCGTCGGCCCAGCGACAGAACATGATATATGCAAGACAGTGACACACTACACAACGATGGAGCAACTAGACAGAGGGCACTCAAATATAGTGCATACCTCCCGCAGTGTGTAACATGTATACATGTGTAATAACAGCTGGCTCGCTGCTGGCTGCTGCTGACTGACGCCTAAGGCGAGCTGAGGCCTGATGCGACGCCTAAGGCGAGCTGGTGCCTGAATCGATCGCGCCAACGCGTGTAACATGTATACAGCTGTATAACAGCTGTCTGCTGCTGGCTAAGCACCCACACGAACACGACACACGAACACACACACGAACAGCACACACGAGAGCAATCACATTACCTCCCTGCAACTCCGTGCGCCAGAGGTAATTACGAGATTATGAGAGCAATAACGTATAGTCTGCGCATTTACTAATCACTCAAAAAATGTAATTTGATATTTCATGGCGCGCCATTTTAAAATAAATTGCCACGCCCCCTCAAATGGGAAACTTATTTTTAAGTTGATCTTAATTGATTCATTGTGTCTAAAAACCATGGTCAAGTATATAAAATCACTCAAAAATGTTAAAAAGGAGTGAATGTATGCTGTTATGATATTTCATGGTGGCCATTTTGAAAATATGGTGCCACGCCCCTTAAAACGACAAATTTTGTTTTAATTTGATCTTAATTGATTCCTTGTGTCTAAAAAATATAATCAAACATTTAAAATCACTCACAAATGTTAATTAGATGTGGATATATACCATTTTTTATATTTAATGGCGGCCATTTTGAAAATTAAGTGCTACGCCCCCTTAAACGGCAAATTACGTTGGGGTCCACCTCCTATCATGTTTAGAATATGTCAGAGCACACGTGTACCAAATTTGATGCTTTTATCAAAAAGTGAACACTCCATGTGCTTAGAACCTCTACTAGTACTACAAACGCAGCGAATACTACCGACGCAGCGAACACTACCGAAGAGGATCGTTTTAGAGGCAGTACTTAGATTCTACTTGCGAAGCTGCACGCACCTTTCGGGGAGCGAAACATCTGACACCGAAAAGTTCGGGGAGCGAAACATCTGACACCGAAAAGTTCGGGGAGCGAAACATCTGACACCGAAAAGTTCGGCGAGCGAACTGCGCGCAGGGCGCGGCAGAAAAGAGGCCGACGCCGTTACACTATATTGATAATAACGCTATATTGATAACGACGCTATATTGATAATTACACTATATTAATATGTTGCTATATTGATAATAACACTTTATGACTCTATATTGATATGTAATTGATATTGATAATGTAATATGATATGATAAATGTAAATGATATTGATAATAACACTATATATTTGATAATAATGCTATATTGATAATAACGCTAAATTGATAACGACGCTATATTGATAATAACGCTATATTGATATGCCACTATATTGATAATAACGCTATATTGATAATAACGCTATATTGATATGCCACTATATTGATAATAACGCTATATTGATAATAACGCTATATTGATATGTCACTATATTGATAACCAGGCCCGTAGCCAGCTTCATATTGGGGGAGGGGTTCGTTTTTCAATGTTGGCAATTTGCTCGGCAGGGGCGTGTACAGGATTTG